CTCGCCCTAAAATCAATTTCAGGTATAAATCCTCTGTATCACTCTCATGAACTCAGTCTTTGCTTGTGTCTCCCTCTCACTATCAATGTTTGTGTTGATGTTTGGTACTGGGATATGTCGATTATAAGATTTCGTGTTGTTGTTTGTGAACTCCCCCAATCTGTGATGTTGTAGTGTTTTTTTGCTGCTATTTCTTTAAGTATCCCTGTTTAAAATATACCTAATGAGAATATAATTTTTTGGGTGCTTTTGTAAGTTATTTGTAATTTGATTTCAGAACAAATTAGTTGGTTAATAGGATTTATTCCTGAGATTTTTTAAGTACCCTTAAATGAGGCACAGGTTGTACAAGGACTTACCGTATATACCATCCTTTAGAAATTGGAGTTGAATTTTTAAGAAGAGACAGGGTAGCACATCTTATTTTAGCCAAGTTGGACTTACCATATATGCTCATCATTTTCAGTTTGAAGTTTCTTTTCCCATTGTGCTAGCAAGTTCACAGTCATGTTTACTCTTAAGGGAAACGATAATGGTCTAAGTAATACCGTGGATCCTATTTTTTTTCATACCATGGGATGTTGGATAGATTTATATATATTATGAAATTACAGTACTATGTTTAGTAAGAGTTGGGATGGAGGAAAGTTAATCCGACGAATACTCGTGCGAAATTAATTATGCCAAGGCCCTGAGAAATTTAACCCATGGTTTTGAGGGAGTATTAATCTGTCCGCACAACATAATCCCCTTATTGTTGAATCAAATGTGATACATTACAAAATTATGAGACAAATCCTAAACATATGGGGTCTTATGTTTTTTAGTTTAATACCCTAATCCTGACACAATCATGTCGAAAAGGGTAGAATATGTATATGTTTATCTTTCATCTTCAATGTTGATATGTACAAGATGTTTTGAAGCTTTAAGTTTTCAGCCCTTGAACTACTTATCAAGTTTTTATATTGTTCATCCTATAATTGCTAAGAAAGGCTTGCAAATTGTTTTCTAAATTTGCAAAGAAATTTTTACGTAGGAAACAAAAAATGAAAACAATATAAAAGCAATGAGACTTGTCAAACTTCAATAACAACAAAATAAAAATGATAAATTACGAGCAAGTAGTCATTGTAGTTTGCTCTCTGTAGTTTTAATTGACTGAATTTTAATCCTAGATTTTGAATTATGTGTCATTTTGGTCCAACTAAAACTTTAGGTTAAGAAACATTGGATGGAAAATTAGCATGTCATGTGATTGGTTATCAAGGGCAAAATAGACATTTTATTCTCCCCTTTCTTTCATCTCCTTCCTCACTCACAAACAGAGCCACCAACCCACCACCGTTCCACTGCCATTAGGAGCCGGCAACCAAACAACAATCCCAACATCCATTTTAGATCTGCAAGACATCATAACTATCGAAAATTATAAAACAAAATCCAATTTCCAACCCTAACATAAAAATCGGAACACAAAACAAAACTAACATAAAAATCCTAGCTACCTTTGCCAATTATTTTCAAAAGTATTATTATTATGTAGCTCTCTTTTGGATCCCAGAAAATGGTTGGGTTATGTGTCTCATTAAGAGCTTTGGGAAGACAATTGTAGCAAGATTTAATATATATATTATGAGCCATTACTTTACATCTCATTTGGGACATCTAGACAAGATATATAGTTATTATTTATTTTGCCTCATAAGTAAGAGTTCAACTTACACCATTTTGTCGTGCTTTGAACCGGATTTGACATATTTATATATTTGTATTTTTCATAGCCATTCATAATCTCGTGCTCTTGATTGGTTGTTTTTTATTTTTATTTAATGTGTCGATCTTCATTTCTTAGTTCAAATAAAATGATACGAAACATGATACCAGCAAATTAAGTGTTATGAAGATAATTTTTTATATGCATATTACCTATTTACCTCTTGTAAACTCTCTCTATTGTGAGTGGGAGTTTTGTACACTTATAAAGTAATTAGCATCTATGTTTTTTCGGCTGTGAAGCTGTGACTTTTAGGAAATGATTGCATGGGTTAACAAATAATAATAATCGTAATATATAAAAGAAAGAAAGGAAAGAGAAACTAGTAGCCAACACCAATAATTGGGACGGACACTAAATAAATAGTTGAGATGAAAAATCAACATATGATGCATTAAAGTAATTAGTAAAAAAACAATTTTAATGATGTAATTTTCAAAATTAGCTGCTGAATTCAAATGGGTGCTCATCAAGTGCTCGAAAAACAAAAGCAAATGGGGTAATGATTTCCACAATAGTAGGTTGTTTGGCACAAAAAAGTTATCTCATATTAAAAAATATTACACAGAGAGAGAGAGAGAGAGAGAGCATCATTTAGGGTTGTCCCAGTGCTGGGATCTAAGACTCCAAAGCCAATCTAGTTGATAGGTTAGACTTTTTTTTTAGTGTTTCCCCCATTCAAACTGTCATCTCTACGTCCACTTCCCTATCCTTCCACTGAGCCTCTTTCCCACACATAGCCTAACCCTCCCAGGCCCCTACAGACCCCAATACCATTACCAACAGAAGATACTGTCAAAAAAACATAATACTTAAAGTCTAACCTATAGATGCATGGAAGTTCCAAGCTTCCTTGCTTATTACACACTAATATTTCCTATAATATGCGACACATGTTACCTCAACCTAGATTTGATTTATCACTGGATAATTTTTCTTTTCTTTTTTTTTGCCTATTATGCAGATCGGCACAACAAACACCATGTACGCACCATATTTACAAAAATTTATGCTAATGATCACCCAATGATTAGTATTAGTCTTGATATACGTGCTAAATATGTATCAAAATATGTAAAAAGTGCTTAGTATTCTAACTATTTTGGTATTACCTCCCCATAAAGACAGACCATAAGTTGTCATTAGCATGATCCGTTGAAAAATAATAGTGGATCTTATTATTTTATAGATATGATAGGTCCTATATTTATACATATGGTTCGTACGTAGGAGGTAAAAAGAAAGGGGGGTAAATATTCATGTATCATTGTCTTAGTCATCAAACCAAGACATACTCTCTGAGGATGAACTGTCTAGTACAAAATATGACTCCATTTTCATTTGGCAGACTTAGCTCTAACAGCATTACACTCTGGTAGGGGCCTTCCCATCAACCATAACTCTGTTGTACCAAATTTGCAGTCATGTGTGAAGAAATTGTTTCTCTAGTCGATTATAAACGTACCTAATTGACTTAAAATAGCAAGAACATCAAGTACCCAAGACAAAATAGAAACTTGGTTGCAAGTCGGTAGGGGCCGCCCCATCAATCACTCTCGGTGAAGAAACACTCTTGACTAGTTATATACCAAAACACAGAAAAAAATCTAGACTACACATTAATTTTTCTTTATCACTCTCAGTGAAGAAAGACTATTGACTAGTTATATACCAAAGCACAGAAAAAATCTAGACCACACATTATTTTTTCTTTATCACTCTTGGTGGAGAAAGACTATTGACTAGTTATATACCAAAACATAAAAAATATCTACACCACACATGAATTTTTCTTTACACTTTTCTGTGCAGATAAGTTTCCCATCTACTAAATATGTTATACTAATGCATGAATACAAAATTTATCTTGAATAATAACTAAGGCAAAATTGTAGCACATCCTAGTACATTGATACATCTGCTAAAATTAGCAAAAATAAAAGGCCACAAGGAGGATTGAGAACAAGTAGTATTGTGATTGTAACTGTGTGGAAAAAAATTACCAAGGTAAGTGGAATCTTTCTATATTTTATGACTTCTCTTGGAGCACAAAAGGGAGAAAGAATTATTCCCAAAGTTATTCAAACAATAAACAGTCTTCATACTAGTTTCACCACTGGTATATGTTTGACTGTGCTGAATGGATCACAACCTTCCCTTTAAATTCTCCTTCTATCCTTCATTTCCTGGGTCATTCTAAAAACTCCTCTCCTCTAACCTGTTCTGCTGATCTGTTTCCCCTGCTGTAGGGTTCCTCTGCTATGTTGATCCATAAAAGAAAATAAAAAAAAAAATCTCAGATTATTGCTGCTACCTTTGCTAGTCTGTTAAAAAGAGGGTCTGAGGGTTGAAGCTGTTAGTCCTGGTAATAGTCTGCTAGTTTGCTAATAGTGTTGCTGATCTGTTAGTTTGCCAATATTCTTGGAATTAGTCTTCCATTGAGTGTAGCTGGCTGCTTTTGTTGGGCTACTTGAACTAAATTCTCGACATACATTAAATGTGTTTAGTCTAATTATATGAAATTGATGAGATATGTTGTATGTTTTCTAAATTAATAGTGTAATTTATTTATTTACAACTCAAATGTTGTTCATGTATGTAGAATCAGCTCTTTTACTCTGCTGATTTTCAACTCTTGGCTGTCCCTTGTTGGTCTGATTGTGCTCAGCAGTGGCTATTGGCTGTTTTGTTTGTTGGTTCTATTGCTTCGCTTTGTTTGTTGGTTTCTCACCAACTGAAGCTTGGAGCTTGTGCTAGCTCCAAGCTCCTCTTTAGTGAAGGATCTTTTCATACTTTGGTTGTTTTCATCAATAAAGTTTTCGTTTGCTGATCACGTAGCTAAAAAATATTTGTTACGGTATCCATGCTAGCAGTGTTCTTTTGATTGCTTTGTTTCATAAGTGAAACATAAATTGTTTCATTTGGTGTGGAATTGTAGAACCCTATTTGAGAACAATTCTTAATGTAGCAAGCATTGCATGCTTGTAGGTTGCATAATTTTGTTTATTTTATTTTCATTTTCCTGAATCTCTCCTTCTTGTTACTGTTAGGATATTTCATTTTGTAGTTTCTAACACTTTCTGTAATATTATGTAGATTAATTATTGTAATGGTTGTCTTTAACCTTTCAGATGGCCCAAATAGACAAGGGTTGGATGACAATAAAAAATAGATTAAGTAGTAGGGAGTATCAAGAAGGGGTGAATCATTTATTGAATTTGCGATGAGAAATGTAGGCTTGGAGGATAAGCTTCGGTGTCCATGTATTGATTGCTTGAATGACAAAGAACATACGATCCACGTTGTTAGGATTCATTTGATTCGAAGAGGGATAACTCTTTCTTACAAGACCTGGGTGCACCATGGGGAACTTGTTCCCGTGGTTGAACCTCTCATACCGAATGAAGGTCACCATGACATATATAGTGAAATTGTAGGTGAAGATCAGGATGATGGGGATGATTTGCCTACTATGTTGGAAGAGGTTTGTAGGGGTTTTGCAATGGATGATGAACGGGATGAATTACCTACTACTTTTGATAGTGTGGATGGGCGAAACTTTGATAAGTTATTTGAAGATGCTCAATGTAAACTATACCCGGAATGCACATGGTTCATTGTGTTGTCATTTATTATTAAGATGCTTCACATTAAGGTGTACAACAAGTGGAGCAATAAGTCATTTGATATGGTTATGAAAGTTTTCAAGGACACTCTACCTGAGTGTGATGAGACTGTTCCATGGACCATATATGCTGCGAAAATATTCTTACGTGACTTGGGTTTGGGCTACGTTCCCATTCATGCTTGTAGGTATGATTGTGCACTATTTTGGAAGGAGCATGCAAATCTTGAAAATTGCCCCAAGTGTGAAGAGCCTAGATACAGGTTGGACAACGGAAAGGGTAAGAAGATCCCTCACAAGATATTGAGGTACTTTCCATTGACACCAAGATTGAAGAGATTGTATATGTCCAAGAAGACTGCTACAGATATGAGATGGCACAAGGAGAAACATGTGGATGATGGAATCTTGAGGCATCCAGCTGATGCTGAGGCATGGAAAGACTTTGATCGGCAACATCCTATGATCGCCATGGATCCACGAAATGTAAGGCTAGGGCTCGCCACCGATGGTTTCAATCCATTCGGAAATATGAGCACATCATACAGTATGTGGCCCGTTATCCTAATGCCTTACAACCTCCCACCATGGAAGTGTATGAAAGAGCCTTTCTCCATGATGTCATTGCTTATTCTTGGACGATCGGCTCCTGGAAGAGATATCGATGTTTACTTACAGCCATTGATTGAGGAGTTGAAGGAGTTATGGGGGGATGGGGTGCAAACTTATGATGCGAAAAACGAAGAGTCATTTAGAATGCATGCTGCACTGATGTGGACCATCAATGATTTCCCTGCATATGGGAACATGTTCGGGTGGACTACTAAAGGTTATTTGGCTTGTCCCACTTGTAATGAGGACGCATCATCACAAAGGTTAACAAGTAAGATAGGGTACATAGGTGCTCGTCGTTACTTGCCCGAGAACCACAGATGGCGAAGGAGCAAGTTGTTTAACGGACAAAGTGAGGTTAGGTGTAGACCGTTGGAGTTATCAGGGGAGCAAATATTAGAGCAAATTCAGACTAGGACATACAAGCCATTTGGAAAACATCCAAATAACAGGAAAAGACAAAGGGACGAAAATCCAGTGCTGAATTGGGCAAAGAGAAGCATTCTGTTTGAATTGCCTTACTGGAAGATGCTTAAGCTTCGACACAACCTTGATGTGAGCCTATTGGACCATCTCTGTCTCAAATGAATGTGTTGTCAGGATCTGAGACTATTGCACCAACGCCGTCTCAAACTAATGCACCACATGGATTTGAGATTTGTGAAGCATCTCTATCTGAAACGCAGGCACCATCTCCTCAAAGTCAAACAAGTGGCGCAGGTAATTAAATATGTTTCATCTACCTTCAATGTATCCATTGTTTATATTTTTACATTAGTAAATACACTAATAACATTATCAAATATGTAGGTGCATCTTCATCAAGGCGAGTGCGGGGACCAACAGTTGGAAAAGCAACAGCAAAAAGAGTTGCCAACAATAATGGGAACAAGCTCCACATTCCAATCACTGAGACATTCAATGCATTCGAAGGGGTGCTAGCGACCCCAGGAGCTAATGAGATTGGCATTCAGATTAGGAGGATGTGCCCCATTCAAGGCGTTAAAAGTTGGACTGTTGCTGATACTGCAACAAAAGGGGTTGTTGTACAAGCTGTCCGGGTATGATTTAATTTCTTTCATAGTATGTGTGGATTATGGAAGAAGTGCACTTTTCATGTGCATGTAGGATGGGAGTTTGTTTTGTTTGTTGGTTATGAAAGCTTGTCATGCATAGTAAAACTCTGCATATCTCGTTTCACAACAGTTTTACCTATTAGATTGCCATTCTAACCCTCTGATTCATAATGGTAATCATGGTACCACCTCAGGAATCGTAGGGCAGAGAAACAACTAAATTATAGGGTGTTAAGGAATTATGAGCACTGTATTGAGTTTGCACTAATGCCATTTGTCATACAATACTACGAATGATTGTTCTTACAGCCCTCTGGCGTTTTTTCACCATATATTAGGATGTTGATTCAACCCTTGTGGATTTTACACATCAATTGACACATCAGTTGATAGGTTCATATGAATGTCTAAGAATGAATCCACATACAACTGATGTTACACATAACATTTTATTTGAAAAGCTCAACAATACATCATGTGCTTTCAGTTAGTTTATTTGAAAAGAGAAAAAAAATAAAAAATAAAAAACTTGGGTTTGATCATTTTTCATGTATGTACCGTTAGAGGTTGAAATATTGTGCAGGTATTTCTATTTATAGGTTCTTTGCTTTTTTGACATTAATGTCCCAATTAATATTACTATACTTTATATTCAATGTTTGGGAAGGCAAGTTAGATTCAATGTTTAGGAAGATAGTTAGATTCAATGTTTGGAATACCTATAGTTATTAAATGTTATATATATATATAGCATGGTGTAGATTTATTTAATTTTGTAATTTCATATAGAATGATATAGATTTATACTAAATTAAAAAAACATGTTATGTATATCAAAGTGGAAGAGGGGATTATAATTATTAATGAATCGTGTTTCATTGATACTCTAGAAGAATCATATGATAATAATATTTTAAAAGTTATCTTACTGAGTACTTTATTTAAAATAATAAATTAGGTACTACAGCAAAACTCTTGATGTGTAAGAATGAATAAGAATAAGAATGAATCACCATATACTAACAATGAATCGTGTTACACATCAGTTGACAGGTTCATATGAATATGTCTATCAGTGTAGCTGGGCCTAACTTATTTTCGCTCTAAGGCGACAACGGCTTGTTCAAGAGCTTAAATCTCCTGATTCAGACATAATTGGTCTAATGATTATATTAAAGAAAATAAATCCAAAAAAGGAGAAAATGGCATATGAATATAATGTCCAAACAATTTAGCGCTTGTACACGTATACAAAACTCAACTTCTTGTGACTGATTAGAAGGTCTGTGTTATCTGTGCTCTTTAATCGATTTAGCGTTCAAGCAAATAACTTTTCTGGACTGCTCTACCCTTAGTATATAAAGTATGAGATTTAGACTAGGATACACTGTGGTTGAATCCACACCTAAAGGATTTAAATTTCTCAATCCGTTATTTCATCTATAATATAAGCCAGATCAGATTGTGCTGTGGAGGAGCACTGATGCAATGAGTTGTGATGAACCCATTGAGCTGAAGGCAGGGCAGCTCTGTTATGCTACAGTTTTTAGGTGTTGTTCTGTTTGCTAGTGAAAGGTCTGATGATCTGTTGTTGAACTATCTGGTGATCTGGTGTTCTGTAGCTGTTTAGTCTTGATTGAACTATCTTTTAGTCTATTTGGCTTGCTGATCTGTTCGTCTGCTATCAGTCCTTGTGCTAATATCTTGGTGCTAGTCTGGTAGGTTATGGTGACTGTTAAGAGGGTGTGATTGCTGAACTAATCTGTTGGTAGTCTGCTGTTAGTGGCTAAGAAGCTGAACTAATCTGATAGTTGCCGATCTAATCTGTGGGTAGCTTGCTGATCTAGAGGAAGCTGTTAATGCTGTTTTTGCTAAGCTCATCAGTGGCTGCATGTACTGGTTGTGTTGTTGGTTGCTTTGTAGTGGTTGTGTTATACTACAACTGTGAGTGGTCTGAATCCATGGTTGATGTCTAAGGTTTTGTTAATAATTATATGGCCTCGGCAATATTTTTTGTTTTCAATTTTATGGAATTTTTTTCACATTATTTGCCAATAGTTAGAACTTGCTGTTTGATGTATAGTTGTTGTCGTCTTAGAAGCCAAGAGTATACTCTTGGCTTCTTCATACATGGATCTCACACACTTCTTGATAATTATGTTCTTCTGTATGTGAGTCTGAATATTTTATTTCATTCTTTCGAGGCTGCTGAATACTTTCTTAAACTATTTATCTGCTATGCTTCACCTAACCTAGTTTTGCAGCCGAGTGAAAACTTTGACTAAACTATATTTCGCAGTATTTTTTTAGTCTTTATTTCTTCTGAAATAAGCAGTAAGTAATGCTTAGATTGCTTATTTGAGAGAACCACTGCTCGCCATTGCCCTTGGCAAGTGAAACTGTTGACTATTATTTCTTTTGTATTCTTCTTGACAAGCCCAATAAAACAACTATGACACTTGGTGAATCTATTTCAAGAATAGTGAACTCCCTTCTGAAAGTGTGTTTTTAAAGAAAGGGATAATACCAACCTCTATGAGGATTTCAGAATGTTGTGGATTTTATCGGTGGTGTTTTTTGTAACTGTTCTCTTTTAATCATATTGAATAAACTAGTTCGTAATATATTTCACATTATTTTGTGGATAAAAGGATCATGGGCTTAAGAAACAACTTTTTAGGCTGTTAATTTGCGTTTAGTGTGAAAGGGAGTCTCTAGTTTGGTGAAAATACTGAATCTGTGACATTCAATCTACAGATTCTGAAGTTCACTTTATTTACTATGTTATGTAGATGATCAGTCTATTGGCATCAAATCAGCATGAAAGTCATGGTTGGGGAATTTGAAGTCACAAACTGACGTAGGATTAAGTTTTTAGACACAAATGTAACTACTAGCACGAATTTGGGGCACTAGAGCCTAAGGCCAAAACATCAAGCATAGATGGATTAGGCATTGGGTCTCCAAATGCATGTTTGTTGCTCACCCTGATGCAGACTTTCCAATTTTTTTTTTTGAATTTTACAATGATGAAAGTAACAGGTTTTTTGTTAACATGACATGTGTGGATTATGGAAGAAGTGCACTTTTCATGTGCATGTAGGATGGGAGTTTGTTTTGTTTGTTGGTTATGAAAGATCCTAAAATTTTAGTTAGACTTGATTTGTCACTGAATGTTCAATTATCTTGGAGGAACATGATTTTCACTTATAATCTTGATAGACAAATTTATTGTTCAGTTTTCAATTTTCGAATGTTGTACTTGAAAGTATTTAGTATAATCAAATAGGAGGGTATGTTGGTCCTGATGCAATGTGTGATTGTTCCCAAAGTAAACTCGAACACCATGTCTTTTGTTTTTTTTTTTAAACTGTGTAATTTGTTGTGATGTCCCTTTCATGTCTTGCCTTCTTCTTTTTTTTTAGTTGAACTTTTGAATGTGATATGAGATCCACTAAAATTATTACCAAGCTGTTGATTAAAGACTGTAAAAGATCAAGAATATGTCTTTAGTTATTGAGTAGGAAAATTAACATGGAGAGTTTTTGTTACATTAGCAGACGTTTGTAGCTTTCTAAAAGGTGTCAAGTCTCTCTACAATGTTTTATACTGCATCTCCTCTAGATTTAGAGATGGAAGTACAACAATGACATGTAGTGCCAACATTTATACATTTAGATGTAGGCAGATAGACTGACCCAACATAAATGAACAAAAAGTACACACACAGACACACACATTTTTCGTGAAAAAGCAATTTCCCTTCTAACGAACCTAGAGGACCGGGAAGTGAGGTCCTAAAGTCTATATGTCCTTGCTACTGCCTTTTAAGGTAAAGGGAGGAAGGCTAGGGCATCCATTTCAAGACAATCTGATTATTCATTCAACTCCCTGAAGGATTTCCTTGTTTATTACGCACTTCTCCGACTGTAGGTCTAGATATTCACTATAAATATTTCGTCGTTTTAACCGTGACAACATCGTTTGCAAAAGTATATTCTTAAATTTAGAATTGTTGAGTACACAATTATCGCTCTCTATGACTGCTTTAAAATTTTTTTTGCAAAGGTGATATCAAATGCCACAAGAGATGGGATGGGGATATATAAGGTTTGTTGCGAGGAGAATTCAGCAACAGATGTGTGTCAGTTTTAATAATGGGATAAATTAGTTCATAGGTTCTACTACTAAAATTTTAGCGATACTGATTCATAGGTTCTACTACTTTTGAATCGTAATAAAGATCAAATTAGTTCATAACAAAAACACACAAAAGCCTCATAACCAAAGTCAGAAAACTATGGTTGACATTACTAGATTGTCAAAAAAGTCTAATTAATTAACAACAACTGCTGAGGATGTCCTTTTAACTGTAATTTAAAACAATGAGAAGAGAAGCAAAGCAGACCATCCAGAGGTTTAACAAAATCCAAAAGAGGGTTAGAAAAACAAAAGCTTGGTATATAGATGGTTTTTGTTATCATTGAAAAAACAGAAAATGTTCAGCTGGAAAACTATTCCTGTGGCTGTGTTATGGTTTATTTGGAAACAGAGGTATGGCAACATCTTTAATGGCACACAACCAGATCTGGTGGAGCTGTGTGAGGTCATCAAAATCAGGGCTGCTGCTATGAATTAGCTCACTCAAACAGTGGTTCTTCATGAGGATCCCAGTTCTGATGTTGTGGCCTGCTGTTGTATAGAGTTAGAAATGTTGCCTATTGCTGTTCTGTTGCCTGCTGCTGTGTGTCACAGGGGAGTTTTGAAATGCCTGCTGCTGGATTGTTTTGGGGGACTGCAGCAGAGGGGTTTCTTGCTGAATTGTGTTGGTTCAGTATTGTTTTCCTGTTGTGGATATTTTAATTGTGCAAGGGGTGATTGTTGCCATTGCTTGATCCTTAGAAATGTGTTTTGTTGTGGATTTGGGTTTTTGCAGTCCTTGGGAGGACTTGTTTAGAGATTGGTTTTTTTCTTGCCCAAGAGTAGATAAATTTTGCACCTAAGGTTTATGAAGTGATGTTCTTTCTTTTTCATTAAATTTTGCACCTAAGGTTTATGAAGTGATTTTCATTATTTAAATGTGTTCTTTCGTTTATGAAGTGATGTTCTGTTTCATTAAATTTTGCACCTCGCTGTAATTAAAAATCACTGTAACTACATATTTTTAGCCTTCACATTACATAATTGCAAGTTTCTTATTTGGTTTGCATTGATTATAGGATACATTTGAAATAGGGGATAATTATGAGGACAATGCACTATCCCAGCAAGTTGTGGAAAAGAAGTGTAACGTGTTACATAAAGATTGGAAGTGCAGAATGAAGAAGAAATGGGAGAAGCTTGTGGATGCGGGAACTAATCCCTATGCTCATCCATACAAAGGAATCAAATTAGATGATTGGAAGTATTTGATTGATGAAGTATGGTTAGATCCTGCAAACAAGGTATGTTATTATTTAGTTATATAATAATAATGTATTAATAACAAGCTCTGTGAAATCATATAGAATGAAGGATCAAATTACCTACCTATAAATGCAAAGTATTTGACCACCTTCACAAGGCTTCTTAGTACTGTTATCATTGTTTAACTATATATGTCACAAACACCAACAATGTGGATTTTTGTATGTAACCATGACCCAAAAAAAATGACTTAGTACTTTAACTATATATGTAATAACCCGTACAATGTGGATTTTTGTAGCGTCGCTACGACGCCAGCAAACAAAATAGGAGCAAGCTACCCTACAATCACACAAGTGGGTCGCGATCTTTTCCGGCAGCAATGAGTATTGCGGTGAGATGTATTTCATTGATTTTATTACCTTTATCCACACTTGTTTCACGAATTAACCATATTACTGAAGGAGTGTTCTATGTGGTGTTTGGCAAATAACAGGTGAAGGAAAATGGTGGATTGTTGCCAGATCTCTGTAATTTCTACAAGGACACTCATCAAAACAAGAGGACAAAACAATGGATTGATCCTATATGCGGTGATTTACATGCAAGTATTCCAATCATTTGGACACTTATACATGCAACTTTTGTGTTTGTCTTATACTAACAATATTTATATTTTACAATTATAGGAGCAAATGACAAGGGTGTGGGATGAGTCTATCGAGGCTGGAACACCGATGGGGCAAGAGGATATATCAAGAGTGGTTCTTGGTAAGAAGAAGGGATACTTAAGAGGATTTGGGGTTGGACCAAAGCCTTCTTCTTGTGATTCTGGGTTCTCGGCTGCATCACAAGCACGTGACGAGCAATTGAAAAGGCTTACATCCGAGTTGGAGATACTGCGTGCGGAGCAGCAGAGCAACCGTGAGGAGCAACAAAAAAAAGAAGAGGAGCAACAAATGAAAGAGGCAGAGAATACAAGACAACGTGAGGAGATGCAGCAGCAGCTTTTTGGAGTTCAGAGCATGTTGGCACAATTTTTGGAAAATCGAAATCCACCAAATTCTCGACAATAGATGGCTCAATGGTAATTGGTAAGTGTGTTAAACCATATTTGATTATATTTATGTTCAAATTAAAGGCAAATAAACGTTTGATGAGAATAACATTATTTATCTTTTTCTTTGGTACAGATGGATGAACTCGTGCACAAAGCTAAATTGTACAGGACAAATTGGCACTTTTTGGATTTTTGGAAGGATTATATATTTTTGTATAGATGTATATGGAAAATATTAGGGTAGACTAGTAGTTATATTTTTGGATGGGTGTGTATAGAAAATATTTGGTAGACTAGTAGTTATTTTTTTGGGTTGATGTACATGGATAAAAATTTAAAACATAATAACAAGTACTTGTTATGTGTTTAATTTTTATGCTAGATGAAATATGTAGTTTCGAATTATTTGTGGATGTAAACTTATAATAGTTGCTGACTTTAATTAAACAGGTTCAGAAATGGTTGATATATGTATTTTGTTGAATGTTGATGATTCAACTTATTTGTTGGTTTGAATGATTTCTTCTTTTTACAGATTATATTGAATAAATTGGATGGATTATTATAAATTACAGGTTTATTTTGTTGGATGTTGGCGACCAAAATTTGGTTTTGTTTTTATAGTTTTGGCGACCAATTGATTAGTCGCGAAATGTCACAATTGGCGACCAAAAAAATTTTGGTTGCAGAATGTCACAATTGCCGACCATAATTTTTGGTCGCGAAATGTCCCAATTGGCGACCCAACAAATTTTGGTCGCAGAATGTCACATTTGGCGACCAATTGATCAGTCGCGAAATGTCCCAATTGGCGACCAAAAAAATATTGGTCGCAGAATGTCACAATTGGTGACCAAATTTTTTGGTCGTGGAATATCACGATTGGCGACCAAATTTTTTTTGTCGCGGAATGTCACGATTGGCGACAAAAATTTTTGGTCGCGGAATGTCACAATTGGCGACCAAACTTTTTGAGAGTTACAAAGAATTTATATATATTAAAACATTTAATTGATTATGATATATATCATGTGAATATTGATGGTTTTGGGAGTTTTAGAAGTTTGAAAAATGTGGGATAAATTCAATTATGTTATTTGAGCAAGTTACATAATTATAATTGCTGGTAGAGTCTTATTTGAAAAAAAACAAAAAAAAGAAGGATTGAAATGTGGTGAATGAAATTGTTTATATGTTTACAAATTCTTATTTTGAGATTGGTTTATTCTAAGCACTAGTATGATGTTAATCTTGCATCATTATTTAGTGTAGTTTTATTGGTTGTTGGTTTTGGAAAGGGAAAAGACTTGCTGTTATATAAATTAATAATTTTATTTTGTTAAAAAACGAGGATTGCAATGTGGGGGGGAAAATTATTTTGAACAGTTAGTTTGGAGCTTGATCAATGTTTTGTATTTTTCACTTTGAAATCATTCTCATTAGTTGTGGTAAACTGAAGTCATGAGTTACAAATATTTGTGGGTTTTTATATTCCATAAAATTACATGATTTAATATAATGTGTGATTGTGTATTCATGGGTTTAATATGCCTATTGCTCGAATTAATTGTCTCAGCCCTTATTGGTGGAAAATATTTTGGGTTGGAATGTAGTGGTAAAAATTATTTTGTTCAATATCCATATAAAACAATTTTTTTAGTTATGTCTTATCGAATTGCATGTAACTTTCCTAATGTGAAGAAGATAGTTTCGCGTGTGGGAAATGGTTTTGAATTGTTACACCATTAATCTTGGTTTTATAATTTTTAGTTAAAGTCAAAAATATTTAAAATAAAGTGAGCCTACTTTTGTATGCTAATAAAAATATTTTGATGATGTCTTTGCAAAAATCTTATATATTAGATTGCATGTGCCTGATCATATTCTTTTAGATTTTTGTTTCATTTATTTGTGTTTTATGATTTGTCTATGGCTGATTAATGAATGGTCAAATAACTATGTAATGATTAATTATTGTAATTATGTTTTAATTCTAATAAAGTGTTCAACTATATAAATCATTTTCTCTTCCAAAACATTAGAGAAGAAGACACACAAGAGTATATAGGAGAATAAGATATATTGAGATTCTATTGAATAGTACAGTTTGATCTATCTTTTGTATTTTTGGGCAACTATAGTTCGTAACTCATTCATATTCTCTTGGTGGACGTGAACATCAAATGAAGAAGGCTGTGAGCACTTGGATTGTATTTTGGAGTCATTGCACTCTAGTTATACCTTCACGTGAAGAGGAACAACGGCTTTAGGGCAGCGACTAAACGCCTCTCAATCTCACATGCCAACTTTTTCTTACTCTATATGAATTTAATTTAATTTACTTACTTCCATATTTTATTTATGGTACATCTGTTAATCATTTTATTAATTAAATTATATTAGTGCATAATATTTTTTTAACAACAGTACGTTTTTTTTTACCTAAGATAAAAGTGTAATCTATCTAATTTTTTTTTAATTTTTATTAGAGAGTAGTTAAAAGGCTTTTTGGGCGAAATACAAAAATAGGAGTAAAGGCATCAAATTCCGTTGAACTTTAAACCAGGAGATTGATCGATTGCATTTTATTAGTTATTTAAATGAATCCTCTTTTTCGAATCTGATTAAACCCCCACGAAAAAAAGTTAATATCAATTCATGACGCACATCAAAATCAACATAGACAAATGAATTTCAAAATCATAGTAATTGATGCTTGTTATCTTGATCAGGATTCAGAAAAAATAGATCCGAGTGCATACCTTATCTATGCATTGAGTGCGCCCACACACAGGAATTTCCCAACAACTTTTTTTTTAATTTGATGGTACAGATGAGTGCGTCAAATCACCAGCTCAAATGAACGCGAAATAGGTATCAGAGATGGCTCTTCTCTTACTTGTGAAGAAGATACAAAACGAAGAAAGAGTTAATTCTCATCGAAAAACAAAATTAACAAATCAAAATAGGAAAAGTAGCATTTCATTCTGGTTTTAGGGATTACATTGCAGATCGCGCGATTGCTGTCTTGGGGGAAGTCAACGGTTGGCTTCGTCGAGTCCGGATCTTCTGCCGTGATCTCCTGCGGTAGTCCCTGCGGTGCCCCAAAACGACGTCGTTTTGGGGCAAATTTTCAAAAAAAAAAAACAAAACAGAACACACCAACACAGAGAACCAAACCAAGGAAGAGAGATGGGGGAAGAAGATACAAGACAGAAGAAGAGAAAGAGGAAAGAAGGTCGTTTGTTTTTCGGATCTCTCTTTTTCTCTCTTAAAAAAAGAAAAACCCCTTCTTTTCTCTCTCTTAAAACTTTCTCTCTTTCAGAGACTGGCCCAGCAGATCGAAATCTCCATCTTTTTTTTCTTCTAGTTGTTGACGATCTAAGTTTCTTGCAATGGTGTTACCAAAACACCCACTTTGTGTTTCTTTGTATTTATTATTAATCTTTCTTTATTTTTTGCCCCCGGTTTCAACCTAGATCTGAAATGCAGAAAGATGGATTTATGAAGAAAATCAAAGTTTCAAAATCTCTATGAAAGATTTGAGATCCAAAATCAAAGAGGAGGAGAGGAAATTATTTCGAACTATTGTTCTTTGCTTTTGTTTGTATTGATCTATTTTTTAGTCAATTTTGATTTATCATTTGGATGTTCGAAGTGTTTATATGTATGTGTGTGTATATATATATATATATATATATCGAATGGGTTTATGAGGGATTTGAGGAAAACCCAGATGAAAAAATGGGGTAAATCATAAAACCCAGAGAGAGAAAGGAGATGGAGAGCCTCTGTGCTTGTATCTTCTTCCCCATCTCTCTTCCTTGGTTTGGTTCTCTGGTGTGTTCTGTTTTTGTTTTGAAAAATTGCCCCAAAAGGATGTCGTTTTTGGGGCACCGCAGGAGACCACGACAGAGGATCTGAACTCGGCTTCATCTGTCTCTGAACACTAGTCAGTATTTTTCCTTTTTTTCTGTACAACAATGCTAAGTAGCTCAAAATTTTGTGGCTCAAATGGCTCAAATCACTTAAAACAACGTCGTTTTAAGTGTAAATAAATGTAAAACGACGTCGTTTTGACAGATTTGAACCATTTGAGCCACAAAATTTTGAACTATCAAACATTTTCCTTTTCTGTAACGCTCATCATCAATCCAATTTTCAGAATTTTAAGGAGTGCTACTGGTACCGCCGCCTACCTACTAGGCAAATTACATATACCCCTCGAGATTTGGCTAAATTACAACTACCCTCCTGAGATTTGAGAAATTACAAATTTCCCCCTGAATGTTATATTTGCATAACAAATTAGGGGGTAATTTGTTATGAAATTTAAACCTCAGGGGCCAAATTATTATGAAAATACAAACCTTAGGGGGTGGGATGTAATTTCCGAAACCTCAGGGGTATCTGTAATTTAGCCAAACCTCAAGGGAAGTATATGTAATTTGCCCTTACTTTTTCTACCTTAATTTCTACTTTTTTTTTGTGTTACAATTATAGTAAAATCACATTAAAGGCTAATATTTAATGGAGCACAAATAAAGATAACTTCGTAATATTGTACATCCACTTTCCCCACTTAAATGTGTATTCCTCACCCACCTAAATTCAACTTATTTCTCCATATCAAGGTTTTTCTTTGTCACTATCTTAAACCCTAAATGTATTTCTTTTCATTACAATCCTAAACTCTAAATCAGAAATTAATGGCTGAATTAAAATAGACGTTTGTTATTTTGTTTGTTATATTGAATTGGAATAGAAAATAGTGAATAGAGAAAGTTACGTAGTGTTGAACAAATGATGTTCGACAACCCAGTACTAAAAAAATTGTTTATGTTCGGCAACATAGTGTTGAATAAATAATATTCAGCAACACAGTGCTGAAAAAATTGTTTTCGTTTGCCAACACAGTGCTGACAAAATTGTTTATGTTCAGTAATACAGTGCTGAACTAACCCTTAGGCGGTCAACCAATCGAATGATCGAGTGGTTGATCGGTAGTGTGATTTTGGCTTAGTTTTACAACAATGATGCAATGATGTAATGGCTTTGATAAAATGGATATTGTTGTTCACTGATTTCAAATAAATCAAATGGAGAGACCGTCACTATCGTCGTTCTTCAATAGGAGAGGGACCATCTTCAACCATGATGGAGAGGGTGTGCAAAATTAGGTGGTTGTGCACTTGTGTGTGATGATATTATGAATAGATATAAATTTGGTATTAAGTGTGGTGTTAAAAGAAATCTTATTGAAATTTAGGGTTTAGGGTAGGGGTTCAAAGAACTGGGGAGGTCTAGAGAATTAAGGTAGATACTAATAGCATCCCTCCTTTTAAATGTATTTAAGTTTTCAACAAAAACAAAAACAAAAAAAGAAATTACATGCAAGTGGAAGAAGGGGAAAAGAATTACAAATACATGGGGATGCAAGTATGTCTATGATGGCCTCATGTGTTTGTAATTTTTTTTTCTCCCACCTGCATGTAATTCCTCCAAAAAAATCCATGTAAGCTTTGACAAAAGCAGCAAGCTTCTCACTGGTCCACGACGTTGATGTTGGGTCTGTGGGTCCATCGTGGGTTTCAATTTTGATGATCCAAATAATTCAATATGTAGAATTTGTCGAGTATTTCATCCTTGCAAAGCTCATGTTGATTGGATATCGATAGTCCCTTAATCAGAAACATAGGGAAACACTATGTTATATACTCGTCAAAGGGTGTGCACCATATAATTAAAAAGAAAAATGACATAATTTCAATTTTCCGAGTCGTAACTAAAAAAAAGGTCGTAACTAAAGAACTCATGAATCATAACTAAATTAATGTCATAACTACAAAAGAAAATTAGTCATAATTAAAGAATAAAATTGCATAACTAGGTGTGGATATAGCACCCTTTTTAAAAGGGTGTATATTAGAATTTCTCTTTTGTTAATAATTTATTTTTAAAATCATATTTATCCTTGACAAAAATATGATTTGATCAAGAGGCAATCGATATCTAATCAACGTGACTTTTTGCAGGGGTAAAGTACTCAACGAATTTTACACATTGAACTATTCGAATTATCGAAATGGAACCCATGATGGGTCTTATGGCCTAACAGTACCATCCAATCAACAAATTAGCGAAAAACCCTTCTCTTACAAAAATAGTTCCCAAGTGTAGCTCTTGTTGTGAGCCGGAGTAATCTCACCTCTATGGGCCGAAGTAACACTACGGCTTTTTATCGATTCCTTCACACTTTGGGCCTCAGGGCCCAACTCACAGCTCGGCCCAATTCTTTCCCAAAAATTACCCTCTCATATATATATATATATTGGCTAGTTTAAATAATTTGTTTATAATTTATTTTATTTTAAAAGTTTGTGTGAAATTATTTGGTGCAATAATTTGCTTATAATTTATGTTAAGGTGCTAAAATATAACTCTAAGAAACCCTATTTTCTCTTTCTTTAAGAAACTCTAGTCATTCTCTCTTTCTCTTCTCGTTAGGGGGGGAGTGGATGGTGATCATTTTAACCTTTCTCTCCCCTCCATTTCTTCTCCTGTGGTTTCAATCACCATTTTAGCCACTACTGCTCCTCTTTTCTCCATTATGGGCTTGCTATGTAGGAAGCTTTCAGATCTAGTCTCAATCTTATTCATGATCGAGACCTGATGCTGCTAAATAACTCTAAGAAACCCTATTTTCTCTTTCTTTAAGAAACTCTAGTCATTCTCTCTTTCTCTTCTCGTTAGGGGGGGAGTGGATGGTGATCATTTTAACCTTTCTCTCCCCTCCATTTCTTCTCCTGTGGTTTCAATCACCATTTTAGCCACTACTGCTCCTCATTTCTCCATTATGGGCTTGCTATCTAGGAAGCTTTCAGATCTAGTCTCAATCTTATTCATGACCGAGACCTGATGCTGCTAAACACATTGTTATATGCTAGGCGACCACCTCAGATCCATAATGTTTTATTTTGTAGCATGGAGGCGGGTATTAAAATACCAAAGCTACCGGTTCCGATGATGAATTGATCATGAAGGTGATTAGTATTGTTTGCTTGTTGGTGATCATTTTGTTTTGTTTTGCTTTTTTCCTTTTTTTTTCCCAATAATATCTCTCTATGTAAAGGTTTTCGCCATTTATGAAGGTTTTCTCCTCTTTACATGGAAGTTTGTTTTTCTCCCTATGTGAAGATGCGTATCCTACTTGTGTTGAGGTTCTCTTTATTCTTTTTGAGATTTATTTTGTACTCCAATGTACTTTATTGTCGTATGTGCAATATATTAAGTCTTGTGCTTTCTCATAAAAAAAATTATGAGGTAAAAATGAAGTTTTAAAAAATTATTATTTAAAAGTTAAGTAAGAGATGATTTTAGTTTCTAATTTTTAACTTACAATAAACAACATCAAATAAGTCATTATCTTTCTCAACAAACCTTTTAGAAAAATTATATGTGTCTTGTGTTAAAATTTTAAAATTTTATAACTCAATTTCTCTTATTTGTTTAAAATAAAACTAGCAATCAATCCATGCTATGCACGGAGATAATTTTTTTAATTTTAAATAAACATGCTTTTACAAAATAAAATAAATTTATTTTATTAATTTAAGTTGTATGTGGATATTTCTATATAAACAAAAATTATACATTAATTTTGAATTAATTACAAAAATTTGATTGTTAAAGGAAACCTCAAAAAATAAATAAATAAAAAAGAAGCAGAAAATTAAAATTCAAAATATTGACATTTTACTATCAATATTATAAAATTTTGATTTTTTGATTAGTCCTACTAAATGTTATGTTGGTTTAGGTAAAATTTAGGAATGGTCATGGGTCGAGTTTGGGGTGAGTTTATAATAATCTATCCTCGTCCAGTATCATATCGAACCGGGGCAAATTGGGGGGTGGTCTGAGCAGGGTAGGTGCGGGGCGGAGGATGGGTTAATTTTATAAATTCAAGAATGAGAATATTAATAAAAATTATAAATAATATAGTATATACGGATAATAA